ACAGAGAGATGGAGGGAGACAGAGACAGAGAGAAAGAGACAGAAACAGAGACAAATGAAGACAGAGAGAGAGACAGAGAGAGACAGAGAGACAGAGAGAGAGAGAGAGTGAGAGTGAGTTCCGGAGACTCCTTGGGCTATGACCCACCGCTATTGACCCTAGGACAAACCTGGGGCCTCTGAGATCCTGGTCCTGTAAAGAAGAGAGAACAGGGAGCAAATCAGAGCAGGGAACCAGCCCCAGGGGTGGGAAATGTTCCAACTGATGATAATTCTCCCCACTCCCTCAAGAAAGTCTGGCAGACAAATACAAAGACACACACCTTTATTGAGGGCAACGTCACTTGGATCTTGACTTGGGGAGGAAAGCAAAGGGGCTTGGCCGAGGTTGCCTATCTGACCTGACGCTGGAGGAACTTGGGAAGAGACTTGGGTTTCTGGAAGGGGTGAGGGGAGCTTCCACCCACTAATGGAGAAGGTGCTGCCTGTGCTCCACTCTCTATTCCCAGGAACCAGGATTGTTTCTTACCTTGGCTGGGTTGTGCTGGTGATTGACCGTGGGGAACTCTAAAGATTCAGATTGCCTGTAGAACCTGGGCGTGTGTGTAGAATTTGTGGGCTCTTGGTCTACCCCATGATCCCTGGGGAGGGGGGAAAAACAAACAAACCCTACCTGAGCCAATCCCCCTTCTATGCTGAGCTATGGCACAAAGAAGACAGGAGGGAGACAGCAGTGTTTGCTAGGCTATGGGGGAACAGAGGACCATCCGTTTAAAACAGAAAGGGCCCTTAGAAGCTATCTATTCAAATCCTTTCATTTTACATGAGGAAACTGAGATCCAGAGAAGTTAGGTGACTTGTCCAAGGTCACATAGCTAGGAACTGGTCAAGTTGGGACTCAAATCCAGCTCTTTTTGCACAACACCATGATACTAGAGAAAACTCTAGGCACATGTATGAGAAAAGGACACGGCCAATTATATTTTAAAGGAAACAACATAGGGTGTTGGAAAGAACATTGCACTTAGAATCAGAGGACAGAGTTTGATTCTCAATTTTGCCACTTAATATCGGAGTGACTCTGAGCAAGGCACTGCACCTCTCTCAGCCTCAGTTTCCTCAGCTGTAACATGAGATAGTTGGACAAGTTCCCTTCCACCTTTATAGCTGTATTAGCTAGGCAACTAGGTGGCACAGTAGATGGAGGAACTGGGCTTTGAGTCAAGAGAACTGAGTTCAAATCCAGCCTCAGGTATTCCTAGCCGTGTGACCCTGGTCAAGTCACTTAACTTCTGTTTGCCTCAGTTTCCTCAACTGTAAGATGGGGATATGAATAGCACCTACAGGTTGTTGTGAGGATCAAATGAGGTAATGTTTGTAAAGCAGTGCCTAGCACATAGCAGACACTGTATAAATGCTTATTCCCTTCCCTACTTCCCATACTAATACATTTGTAAGGAACTACACAGATATTATAACTTTCTGTACACAGAACTATTGAGGATCATGGGGACATACGACTTGGAATTGAAAAGGATCTTCCATCCACCCACTTTATTTTTACCAATAAGGACCCTGAGGATGGAAGAGGATGGGAGAGACATGCCTGCCATCACCAAGCAACAGTAGCATCTCCAGTTCCAAATCCAATGTTCTTTTTATTATATCTTATAGATATGTTGGGGGTCAGCTTCATTTTGTGCACAACCTTATTTGAGTGTGGGGTCAACCTTGACTTCCATATAACCAGCCAGAAATACACTAAATGATTTGCTGTGTTGAGTGGGGGGTAGATTCAATGAACTCTCAGGTCCTTTCCAAATCTAAGATTCTCTAAATCTAGTAAAATGCCCATGTAAGTGTATGCTTGGGGCTTGGAAGTGAGTGTAGGCATCTGGGACTAATGACGTGACTGGAGTTTGCTCTCACGTGTTGGTGGTCCAGAACTCTCCTAGACTTTTCCAGAAATCCATTTCATCTGGTGTCAGACAAGAATTCAGCAAGTCAATGGCCTTGGGGGTTAACCGGGGAACATCTACAGAAGCTGCCCAATGAGGATTGGGGCAGTTGGGCATCACCTGGGGGAATAACAGAAGGTATGTTGGAAACAGCGATTCCTTGACAGGAAGAGCTAGACAGGAGACAGCATTAGAGTGACCTTGTCATGCCAGCCCCCAATACGTATAGGTAGGTTTTAAAATGTCTGTGTTTGGACATTTGTGTACAATCAAGCATCTGTCTAGTCCATGGGCCCTTCTCCCTGAGTTCTTCCTCTGAGGTCTCCTCCCAGTCCAGAGCATCCCTGACTGCCTTGGGATTGAAGGCAGTGGCTTTGTTCTGAAGCCCTGCCCAGCATTAGCTCTGTTGGAACATGCACGAATTTGAATGTGTTGGGATGGAGTTGAGGGGAAAATAGAACTCCCTTCTTTCTCTCATCTTCCATCCCTTTACCTGCTCATTATACTCCTGCCCACCTCCACCTTCTCCCATTTCCTCTGCTCTCCACAATATTCTGTCTGCCTGGACCTCTTCCTTTTTCGTTCTCCATCATGGTCTACCTTGTGCCATTTCAACTTACCATGGTCAAAGCTTGGAAGAGGATGTGTACAAATTCAGGGGCACCTGGCTGCTGTAGATAGATGTCCAGCTTCCCCTGGGGACATATTAATAGACCAACCCACCCTGTCACCACCAGGGCACTCAGCTCCCTCAAAGGGGTTGAGGGCTTGGTTTCCAGGCAGTAGAAAAGAAGGGGAAGGGGGAATCATTGTTTCTAGAGCTGATTCTAGAGAGGCAAATTTCAGGGGTAGAGTGTGATTTATGGATGAGAGGGGAAGAGCTGAGCCTAGGGTTTATGAAATGGAGAGGAGGGGAGAGGTTTGTTTTGGGGGTAGGAGGCTGGAGAAGGAACTTCAGTCCCAGGACTAACCACACTTCCCCTCACCTCCCTAGGGGTTGACTTACCAGGAGATTGAAAGCATGTTTGATCTTCCGGAAGTACTCTATGTATTGGGGTTCTGATGGAAGCCCTGTGAGTCAGAGACAGGATTGACTGACCACTCATAGCACTGTGCCCATGCCCCTCCCTCTACCCCCCAACATTCCTAAATATCCTCCTGGTGGCCCCTGTCCCACCCAGACCCTGTGCTCACCTTTTGGGGTCTTCTTCTTCCCCAAAATCTTCTTCTTCTTATTGTTATTTTTTGGGGTCCTCTTTGCCATATCCACAAATAGCTCAATTTCACTCAGCGTGTTGTTCAGTTCCTCCTGTATCCAGACAACGCCCCCCCCAGGCTGAGCCTCTGACTTTGAATAGGCCAGTGACCCCTGCACTCCCTCAGAATACTATGCCATTGGCCACATACAGGAGCTTCCATTCCTGTCCCTCTAACTAGCCCTAGCCTTGCCCACCCGCCTAGCCTCAGCCTTCCTCTAATTCTGCCATTGTTCCAGCCTCTGGTCTTCCATGAAAGAGGAAGGGGCTCTGATCCTTCCTTCATTCCTCCCCCCTTCCTCCACAGTGTACCCAAAGTCAGAGGGTCCCAGATTAAGGCTGGATATGTTTACTATTTCTCTCTCCACGTCCAGATGGGGCTCAGGCTTTGCCTTCTGCAGGGGAGACTGGCCAAACCCCTGTGGTTCCTGGGTACTAGGCTGGTATGAGGTGAGGAGTCCTGTAATGTTCAAAAGACAAGGGAGGTGGCCATTGCAGTCTCTTGTGGCACTTCATTCCCCCAGGGCTGCTGAGGAAGCCATCTCCCTCCCCTGCTCCAATCAACATCTCTCCCCATCCCCATCCTACCTCCCTGTATGCTCTGGACCCTACTCACTCTGCTCAGTGGAGTTCCAGGGATGATTTTCTGGGGGATATGCCTCCCACCTATTCTGATTGGGTTGGGTACCCCCGACTCTGTATCTGTGAAGGATATAATAATATCTGAGTCTGGATCTTAGAAACAGGGATGGAGGGTCCCCTGTCCCCCAGCCTTTAGCCCCTCAGGATAGTGTTTTGTCTCATTGTCTTCTCAACTCAGGTAACTCTAGCCTTCTCTCCCCTTCATGCCACCATCTCCATTCTAGTCTCAACCCCGTTCCTTTTGAACCAGTCCCATTTCCATCTCTATTTTAATCTTTAGACTTTAGATGTTTTCCCATCTCTAGCACCTTTCTTTGCCCCCCTTCTTTAGCCTCTCATCTTTTCTCTTGTTTGGTTGTTTCAGTCGTGTGCAACTCTTCATGACCCCATCTGGGGTTTTCTCTTTCTGGAGTGGTTTGCCATTTCCTTCTCCATTCTCATTTTACAGATGAGGAAATTGAGGCAAAAAGGGTTAAGTGACTTGCCCAGGGTCACACAGCTAGTGTCTGAGGCCAGATTTGAACTCAGGAAGATGAATCTTTCTGATTCTAGGCCTTTTGCTCTGTCCACTGTACCACCTGGCTGTCCCAGCCTCTCATCTATCCCCATTCTACTTCCAACCCTGGCCATATCCTCCAGCCCTATCTCCATCCTCACTCTCTTTTTATTTCCATCTCCTCCAACTTGGGCCCAATTTTGACCCTTTTCTTGACCCTATCTTTTTCTAGCCTCGAGGATAGCAACTGGGATAACCCAAATTAGGTTCTGGGTGTGAGGAGGGATTGCTTCGCATTGACCTTGGGGCTGAGGGCCAGTCATCGTTGGGAGTGTCAGAGGGCTTTGGAGGTTAGAGGGAGGCTCTACCTTGATTCTTGCCTCTCTTTGGATTCATCAATGGCCTTCTGTAGGTTACTCCTCAGAATCTCAGCCTGGAGAAAGGGATAATCAGAAGCTGTGAGTCTGGGCAGGAACTTAAATATATTCTGTTCTTATTCCCTCCAGGATAGTAAGGTCACTGCTTTTTATCCTTCCCTCCCAGGCTGCTCACCCCGACTTCCCAGCACTGGAATAGCAGGACACTGGTCAAAGGTTTGCCCAGCTCTTGAAGGTTGATTAATAGAACTGAATTGTAGGAACAGCTATTCGATATGGCATCCAGGGATTGTATGCCATCCAAGGGGTAGGAATCCATCTCTTCCTGTGGGAGGAAAAGAAGGGCTTAGTAAAGGTATCTTCTTGAAAACCAGGACACATTCCTTCCAGGGGGCTCCCTCCAACATACAATACACATAGCCCTTAAACTGGCCCTTCCAACCCATACCTACCTGGGGGAGTCCTTGGACCTGGGAGGGGAGGAATCAGCATCAGAGGAAATATGGAGGAGAGAAAGGTGAAGGTCCTCTTGGGGAAAGAGGAGGGGAGGGATATGCTGAAATCCTCACCCTGGTCTCAATATCCAGAATTTGGAGCCAGTGGTTTTTGACCTGCAAGACCACATCCTGGCCCCACACTTGACCTTGGGCATCCATCTTCTGAAGCTTCTTGATTACATCCTTAGGTTCCTGGATGGTTCCTGAGCCGAGCTTACAGGTCAACAGGTGCTGAGAAATGAGAAGGGAGAATGCTCAGGAGTTGGGGGAGCTTTGAGGAGGGGGTGCAGCAGATCCTTTGTTCATACGGTGTAGGAAGTTCTCTGGGGTGGTGAAGTGATCCCCAAAGTCTCCAGACAAGTAGAACCTACCCTCAGCCCTGCCCAGGTCAAGGTCAAGGTCAAGGTCAAGGTTGGAGTTGGGGAATATTTCAGGGGAGAAGGACCCGGCAAAGGAAGGCTGACATTAGGCACGCTTCAGGATTTGGGTCAGATGATGGTCTGTTTAAAGGGACAACTGTGTGACTCTCTTGAATCCTTGAGGTTTCAGTTACTGGAGCAAAGAGCTGGCAGCCCCTTTGATTTCCTCGACGGAGGGATAAAGTCCACACTCCTTTGCTAGCTCCTCAGAGACATAAACCTGCCCCTCCCTTCAGTTACAGTTTTATCTCACGTTGCTCCCTAATTCATGCTCAACTCTAAGCAGGCCAGCCCCAGAGCCTGCGGTTTCATCTCTGCATCCTCTGCATCCCCAGAGCCAGACACAAGCCAGAGCTTGCACATAAGGATAGGGACAGATATGTGCTTTCATTAGCATAGGGAACTCCTGGGTGAGGAAATTCCCTCTCTCAGTGCAGGTCGGCACCTCCTCTGAAACACAGTCTTAGACTGAGAGTAACATTGAGCACTGAGAGATTACACACCTTCTCCAGGATGTTGTCAGAGCGAGGCTTGAACTCACTGGCTCTCGAACGGCTAGGCCATGCGGTCTGTCTTGCACGTATTAGGTTTTTCATAAATATGGACTGAATTATTGGACTCGCTGAATCCTGTTCTTGTGTCTGTGACTCTGCACACAACCATATGAAAATCCTGTCCCTTCACAATCTCTTACTCGGTGTCTGGGATGCAGCTCAGGTCCCATGCCCTCCACAAAGGCACCTCTAGCTACTAGAGCACTTCCTCCCTTCTCTGGGCTCCCGCACTCTGCGCTGTCTCTCTGTTAGCCTGGGTCATACATACTGTCTTGGGTTATTCAACTGCTTCATGAATTTGTCTTGTCTTTTCACTTGGTCTGTTCTACAAATCACAAGTGTGTCACTCTTATCTTCTCCACTCCCTCCTCCTCTTCTTCCTTCTCCCTCTTCTTCCGCTGTCTCTCTTCTCCTCCCTCTTCCTCTCCCTTTCCCTCTTTTCTTCTCTTCCTCTCTCCCTTTCACTCACCTTCTGCTTCTTTCTCCTTCTCCCTGTCTCCCTTTCCCTCTCCTTCTCTCTGTCTTCCTTTCCCTTTCCCCCTCTTCCTTCCTTCCTTCCTTCCTTCCTTCCTTCCTTCCTTCCTTCCTT